TCAGCAACTCCTTCCCAGTCCCTGCAGGCTGACAGTTAAGCCAGGTTCAGAGATATCTGTAAACAGTTCCCTCTCCCCTCACCAGCCCTGGCTGGTCCCTGATGTATTGGCATGAGGTGTTCGAGTCTCCTTTGAGATGGGTTTCATGGAGAGGTGTATTTCCTTGACTGCTGAACCCCTGAAAAGGTGGGAATAGGTATTTTAGTCATTCTTAATCTGCATCTAGTAAGTTCTCTAGTAAATACTCTTGGTAGCTTGCCGGGCTCTCCGAGAGGGGCGCAGGAATCAAACCTGGGTCAGCTGGGTTGGCCACATGCAAGGCAAATGCCCAACCTGCTGTGCTATATCTCCAGCTCAGGTAGCCCAACAAGCTACCGAGGTATCTCACCCTCACGACAAAGCCTGGCAAGCTACCCGTGACATATTCGATATGCCAAACACAGTAACAAGTCTCACAATGTTACTGGGCCTGCTCTAGCAAGTCGATGAACAACGGGAGGACAGTCACAGTCCTTTCTTTAACACTTTTAAAATTATTTTTTTATTTGAGGGACTGTGCTTTGCAATACTGTTAATGATAGGGTTTCCTGCGTACAACATTCCAACTCCACCCCCACTCTTGAGTCCCCCCCACCTCACATCAATCCAGCCACCCTAGGGGTCTAAAGCTCTAAAGCTCTTTTTTGTTTATCTAAAAAATACATTTATTCTTGCTTAATATTATTAAGGTCACATGGTTTACAACAGTGTTAAATTTTGTGCTTTCAATATACAAAGTTAAGGGGTCAGAGAACTAGTGCAATGGTAAGGGGCTTGCCTTGCCTCTGGTTGACCAGGGTTCAATCCCTGACATCCATGCCTGGCATCCCAGATTGACCCCAAAGCACTGCCAGGAGTGATTTCTAAGCACAGAGCTGGAAATAACCTTTGAGCAAAGCCAGGTGTGCCCAAAAAGCAAGCCAAACCAAAACCAAAACCAAACAAAAAACCTCCTACAAATAAAACAAAGTTGATTGTACCTCTACCACCAGCAAAGTGTTCCAAAGCCTCTACCCCACCTATTCTGCCCCCCCACCCCCCTTTCCCCACCAAGTGCAACCTCCATCAGAGTTAGAAAAGATTCTAGCTAGTCACTCAGCATAATTTATTTGTACACTTATGGTCAATGAAAAGACAAAACTTTGCAAAGTATTTTAAACAAAAAACCTGGCCTAGTATATCAGAGCAGCAATTCAGTCCTTTATTGGGCAAACACGTAATGGAGACCTAATTACCAACATTTCCCCTTCATTTTGTAGCACAGCCCCAGCTCACCCACTGTCTGCACTGCATCTTCAGCCTGGCCAGCTGTCAGTCCCCTCTCCTGGGACAGCAGTGGGGAGCTGCTCGCTTCCAGTGTCTGCCCTCTCCCTGCTGCTCTTCTACTCTCTTGCTCTGGTTGCCTTCTGCCTACATCTGGTAGGCATCCTGTCATTTTCCTGTTCCATACCAAAATGACAAAACAGAAAGAAAGAAGGTAGATCAAATGTCAATTATGGTCTCTGTAAGTAGGAAGGTAGCTCTGTGTGTGTGTGTGTGTGTGTGTGTGTGTGTGTGTATTATGTCAGGGAGTGAATCCAGGGTCTCACCTATGCAAGACAAGTGCTCGACTGCTAACCTCCATCCACAGCCATTGCTGGAGGAAACAGGGCAAGTTGAGGCTTGGGAGAGGTTATATACTCCCTAACCAATAATCAGAACATGTGCCCTCACAAGGAACTAAAACTTACAGGAAAAACAACGTGAGAGCATATGAATTATTTTGTTCGGGTAAAGGCAGAAATGTTGCCATTTAACTTCCATAGTATTTGTTACTTTTCTGGTAATTCATTGGGGGAGAGTATTGGAGGTAATGGGATTTCAGGAATTGAACCTCTAGACAAATTCAGTATGAAAGAAAAGGGAAAAATTAGACCTGATTCTAGGAACAGTTAGGCAGGGGAACTACTAAGAGAATAAGGGAAGTGTACATTTAGTAAAGTACCTGATTAAAATTTGCACAATTCTAAGGCTCTAAAATTTTCCATTTCCACCCATTGTTTTGACTGGAAACACAGGATTACTATTAGTAAGAATTACTATTTGGAATTATGATGCCTCAAAGGGGTCAAACCAAATACAATGATTTGCTTTGGTGATCCTGAATTCTGCCAGGTGTGGGCACCTTTCCCCCCAAATTCCCCCACCCAACCCCAAGAGAATAACTAGTTCGCTGTCACATATTCCTAGAACCTATTAATATACCTATTATTTGATCTTTACAAACTTTGCAAGGTGGGAATGATGCCATTTCCCATGAGGAAAGAACAACTTCCATATAGTTATGCAGCTATCAATAGCAAATCCACCAACAGTCTGATGCCAACCTATTAGTGGTTGTTTCAGATAATAGGATCTAATGCGAGCCTCTTAAGAGTCTGAGATTGAGGAACTCTTAGCAAGCTTGAACTGTGGTTAAGAGCGACAGAGATTCTGTCTGAAATCTTTCATATTTTGTCTTTTGCCTAGAAGTGTTAGGGAGCTACTTAGGGCTCCCTCAGGCAAAGCAAGCCCTCCAGCTTTCTAGTCCCCTCACCACCCTTTCTTTACTTAGTTGTAAAACTTCAAAGGTGAGGGCTGGAGCTTGACTGGGTGTGGCCCCAAACAAAAAACAAACCAGAAACTTCAACTGTGAAGGGAAAGTACTCTTACAAGTCTCTAAAGTTAAAAAAAAAAGTTCCTTTTGTTCCTGGCCCTACAGGGAATCAATCCAGGGCCTAATAGATGCAAGGTAAGTAAGTGCTCTAAGGCTGAGCCACACAGCAGCCTCTTAAAAGAAAAAAGAAGAAAAAAAAGTCCTGAGTCAGAGACATAAAACAGTGGATAAGGCGCTTGTCTTGCAAGCCGTGCTCCAAGGGTTAAATCTTTGGTACCACATATGGTCCGCTGAGCCCTGCCAGGAATGATCTTTGAGCACAGCCAGATGTGACATCTTCCTCCCTCCCTCCCCGAAAGATCTAAAAAGGTCTTTAAAGGGTGATGCACAAAGAAAACGAATGCATATATATCCCAATCCTGATAAATGCACATATATCCCAATCCTGGTCTTGGTCTGGGGACCTACACTCTTTTTGCACTCACACATCTGGATTTTCAAAGATACCGACTTTATAGACATTACAATGAGCTGAATTTCTTACAAAAAGAAATGAAAGTCTTTACCAGCAACTTTAAAATTGAAGCTTCTCAATTCCTTAATTCTCAAGGAAGTGTTTTTAACACCAGGGCAGGGCACAACCATTCATAAGGAGGATATATATCATCATAGATAGGACCCAGAAATTCGCCGAGGCTGAATGAAATGCAGTCTGGTGCTTTTCCCTAATTCTTACATACAGGACTTGATTAATATTTAAAGAACATCTTGGTCTTCACTTCTACCATTACAAAGGCGTCTAACCTTTAATTATTCCACAGATGCCTTCCTAACAGGTTGTGAGGTGGCATCCTAGGTTATAGTTAAGGGCGAGGCTCTGGAGTCCCATGAAACAACCTGGGTTCACATCTCGCTTGTCGCCTGCATGGCGGCCTGAAGATAATTCATCTAGAAAACGAATGTCAAGTGGAAACAATCCAGTTCCCACACCACTCCAGTTCCCACAGGGCAGATATAGGGACGGATACTGGGTACAAAGTAAATTCCCATGAACGCTGGCCGTAAAGTTTGGACACTATGTAGCAACTTACTCAAGTCCCTAAGGCAGGTTTCTAAGCAGGATCAAGTCAATGACATCTTCGGGGGAATCCCTTTCAAAAGCCAAACCGCGTTTCTATTTACATTTTCAGGAGTGTAGATTTCGATCCCCGGCCACTTAGGAATTTGGGACCACTCGCCCTATATTCAATCATACCATATCCAAGGTGGGGTTTCTTTCTTTTTTTTTTTTTTCTTTTTTGGGTCTTCCGGCCCAAGGCGTTTTCTTGGTCTTATAAAACCCTACAAATTCGGCGAGAAGCACAAACGGCCCGGGACAAGTCCATTAACCTGAGTAGCCAGGAACTTGAAACACCAAAGCTGCGGGTGCTCGCGAGCGGCGTATCCGCTGGCGTCCGGACAGGCGCGCGCCGCATCGCGGGGAGGGCGTTTCAGTCTGGGGAGGGGGAACCTAGGAAACCTCGCAACTTGGAACCGGCGCGTGGTGGATTTTGAACCTCGGACGTGACCGCCCGTTACGTAACCCCGAAAGCGGCCGGGGATAAGATGACCGCGGCGGGCGGCCAGCCAGACCCCTCCGAGTCTCCGGCGCGTGGCTAGATGGGGACGTTTACATTTGAATTTCCCTGAACCGCCGGGTGTGGACTGTGGTGCCGACCCGCCCCGGAAACCTCGGGGCTCCTTCCCGCCACCCGCTCACTCTCGGGTGTGGGGGGGAGGGACGGACCCCGAGAAGGGCGGTGGGAGGATAGGGAGGAGAGGAGAAATGGTCCCCGCCGCCCGCCGCCCGGCCCCGCCCCGCCCCGCGCGCCCGCCCGCCCGACGGTTGCCCGAGGGCCCGATTTTAAATTTCCAGGCCCGGCCCCTGCGCCGCCCGAGCGCTCTGCCGCCTCCCCATTGGCCGGCCGAGGCCACGTGGGCGGGCCGGCGCGCCGGCCATGTTGGGGAGAGTCGCGCCGGGGCCCGCGCCACCTCCGCCCCCAGCGGCTCCCCTCCAGCCCGCCCCTCGCCGCCCTCCTCCCCACCCCCCCCCCGCCCGCCGCGCCGCGCCGCCTGCGAGGAAACAAAGTGCTGCGGGCGGGACACTAGGCGGCGGCGGCGGCGCGCGGACCTCACGGGGCCCTCCGGTCACCCTCGCCCCGTTCCTTCCCTTGTGTGCGTGTGTCTGTGTGTGTCTGTGTGCGCGCGCGCGCGCGTTTTCTGACAAAGGGCATTTGACGATTGATTGATTCGCAGCCCTTCCCCCCCCTCCTTTTTTTTTTTTTTACCCTTTGTGTTGTAACGCTCTCCCGCCATCCCAGGTACTTCTCCCTCGCTCCCGACGCCGGGCTCTCGGCGAGCGCTGATCGCGGGCTCGGGCGCCCCTCCTCCCCGCCCTCCCTGCTCTGCTCCCCTCCCTCCCCGGGCTACCGATCGCCCCCGCCGCTCCGCCATGGCAACCGCGACCCCCGTGCTGCCGCGGTCGGGCAGCCGCTCCAGCGCCCCCGGCACGCCGCTGAGCCCCACGCGGCTGTCGCGGCTGCAGGAGAAGGAGGAGCTGCGCGAGCTCAACGACCGGCTGGCCGTGTACATCGACAAGGTGCGCAGCCTGGAGACGGAGAACAGCGCGCTGCAGCTGCAGGTGACGGAGCGGGAGGAGGTGCGCGGCCGCGAGCTCACCGGCCTCAAGGCGCTCTACGAGACCGAGCTGGCCGACGCGCGCCGCGCGCTCGACGACACGGCCTGCGAGCGCGCCAAGCTGCAGATCGAGCTGGGCAAGTTCAAGGCCGAGCACGACCAGCTTCTGCTCAAGTGAGTGTGCTCGCGGGGCTGCTGCGGGGTTAGTGGTTCCCCCCTCTCCCCCCGACCTACTCCCCCGGGGCGACGGCGCGCAGCCTGGGGGAGGCCGAGTTCTGGGGTTTCTGCACCGCGGAGGTGGGGGGTGGGGGGGGAAGAGCGAGAGGTGGGGCGGGGAGATGGGGGGAAGGCGGGAATCCCGCGCCTTTAGGGAAGGGGTCGGGTTTTCTGTCTCCGGAAACGGGAAGGAATCTCGAGTTTCTTGGCTTGGGGCCGGGGGTTTCGCAGGGAAGGCGGAGGGGGTGCGGGGCTCGAGTTGCAGCCCCCGGGGACTGGGAGGCACCTTTCCCAGCCCCGGATCCGCCGCCGCCGGTCCTGACCGAGTGAGCGCGCGGGTTCGGGCCTCGGGCCCTGGTCCTCCGGGCGTCCGCTCGGCGGCCCCGCGCGGCCCAGGTGCGGGGTGGTGCTCCCCCCCACCCCACCCCCGGCGCGCGCCCCAGTGCGCGCCGCGGTTTCCGGCCGGGTGGGAGACAAAGCACCGGGTGGGTTTGCCGTGCTGGGCCCGTCGGCCGCGGAGCCCCGGCTGCCCGATTCAAGAATGAATGAGCTCCGCGCGGGCTCGAGGGAGGAAGGGGAGGGACCAGTCTCCAGCGTCCGGGTCTCCGGGGGGTGGGTCTTGCCTTGGCGCGCTCTTTTCTTGGCCCTGTGACATTGGGCGAGGGTTCTGCGGCTAGACTCTGGCTGGGAGGGGACAGGGGTTAGAGGCTGAGCGATGGACGCGGCCTGACGGATCCAGGGCAGGGAGAGGTTTCAGGCACCTTCACTGTCTCCCGGGGAACGCTGTGGTGGCCTTCAGCGACACAGATGTGGTGCTGTGTATGTGTGTGTGTGTAGGGGGGGGTGCTGGGGGGAGGATCCTGGGGCTTCTCCCGCGCTGGGGATTCCAATGTGGCCTTTGAGAATGCTCCGACCGCCGCGTTCCAATCCGCGAACCTCTTGCAGCAACCACCCCGCCCCCTCCTGGCACCGGTCCCCTCCCCTGGCTTTTGCACCCGTGCCGTATGTACTGTCACTCGGAGTTGTAGGTAATGGACAGACCACTCTTGTTTGTTCAGCGTCAGTCACTGTGTTGACAGGCCAGGGCAGGTGAAAGAGTTGGGTAAATGTGGGGAGCGTTGTGGTCTGGTGGAGCTGGTAATTATTTCACCACCGAAGGGAGTCGGGATTTCAGCTCAGGACTTGACGATCAACTTCGAATCCTCTGCTGATCCTACTTTGACTTTCTTATATGCCGAATAGCATATTTGCCATCATTCGGAAGTCGTGTGCATGTCACTGTCGAACTCATGCTCTCTAACGGCTGATTGAAATTTCTGGAGATTTCCTTCTTGCGACTTTGATCCTGGGTATCTGTCTTTCCTATTACTGGTTTTTGGTTTGGAGGCCCTGACCTAAAGGTGCTCTAGGTTTGCTCGATGCTCATTGCTCGGGGCTCTCCCCGAGTTGTGGGTGTGGGGGAGCCGTGTGGTGCTGGGGGTTGAGCCCCGCCTCTTGCAAGTTACACTGTCTGGGCCCGTGGATCTCCTGTCTTTCCATTGATAAGCATGTGCATATGCTTGTCTTAATCTCTGACTTGGTGTAGGACTCTCCTTTGCATTCCTGTACTGGAAAAACAGTTCGTAAAAAAAGGCTTGTACACTTCGTAAGCAAAAAATAGTATAGATGGGTTCATAGTGAAAAACGATAGTTTACGATCTTTTTCCAGGAAGCAGTCATATTTAATCCATTGTGCTTTTATTTCTTTAACTATTTAGCTCCATACTAAAAATTAATAAGTTTAGGGACTGGAGAGGTAGTGAAGCAAGCAGGTAGGGTGCTTGCCTTGCACATGACCTACCTGGCTTCCATCCCTGGCATCCCTGTATGTTTACTGCCCTGTTCCCCCAGTACCACCAGGAGTGATTTCTGAGTACAGTGCCAGGAGTAACCCCTGAATATCACCTGGTGTGGCCCAGAAGACAGGGAAACAATTTTTTTTATTTGCTTCTTGGGTTTACCTACCTTTGCAATGATCTTTTGAAATGGCTCAGTTAACTCTAATTCTGTCTTCGTCATCGCTTGTCTGACTCCATTATTGAGAAGAAAAAGCCGTCAGGACCAGCATTCACTGGACCTGTTCTGGTTTCAGAGGTGTTCAAGTGATACTGATTAGGCATCTGCTATGGGCCGGTCACTGTTTAGGTATGTGAAACATTTGGTTTTGGGGCTATTTACTGTGGTATTCAGAAACTGCTCCCAGATCTGTGCTCCAGAAATTGACCATGTAGTGCCAGGAATCAAACCTGGGCCTCCCACACATGTGCTCAGCTCAGTCAGCCCTTTGACCTATCTTTCCTGGATACAGAGACTTAGCATTATGGACCATATGTTTTGAGAGCACAGTAGGAGAAATAATTAGCAGCTAATATATTTTATCTAATCTCAAGAATTTTGATACTGGTACTGTAGTAATCTTTCCAGTAGATATTCAAGTTTTTTTTTTTTTTATTATATAGTAACAAGACTGCCACCTGGCTGACCATTGTTGTAAAAGCTTATTTGTGGATTGCAAAATGCATGCTGGTTTCAGAAGGATTAAAAAGTGAGGATATATGTATTAGAATTGATAATATGTCTGATATACTAGGTAATATGTTAGGGAATAAAAACAAAATGAAGAATGGATATTGTGGTTAAGGAAGTCTGTCTAAGAGACTGACTATTGAAAATAATCTGAAACAAGTGTTAGAATCTTTACTTTTCTTAGGTTTGTACATACATTCCTATTGCCAACTTAGATGCTGTCAGTTGCTCAAAACATGAAATGTTTTTGGTTCATATTTCAGTTACTAGTCTCCTTGTACAGTTTGCCCCTAAATAGGCTCTTGGCAGAAGAAAAATTTATCATTATTATATTCTTATAAACCTTTTGAAGCTATCTAATCATATCATCAACTATGAGTCTAATTGTCGCACTCCTGTCCAGAACACTGTTCACAAGACGTGTTGTGCAGCTGACATACGAGAAATTTGCTTGATAGTTTCTTCGTGTATTTTGTTTATTCTCTCATTTTGTTTGAGAATATTCGTAGGCAATTTATTCAGAAAGGATGACAGAAACTAAGCTTTCTGAGCCCTGTGAGTCTGCAAATAACTTAATTTTATTCTAATGCTTGCCAGATAGTTGAGCTAGGTATAGAATACTGGCTTATCTCAGAACTTGGAAATTGTAGTGATATAGTCTATTTTTTATAGTGAATCTATTTTTTAATTGTTATTGTCTGTTTAATGCCATTCACAGGCCTTTTATTCTTTTTTGGGGGGTAGTTATTGACCGCCTACACCCCCTAAAAAAGCTTCTGGAAATTCTTTGTCCTGGTATAGTGATAGATGCAGGTCTAGGTATGTCTTAGCTATTGATCCTTTCTTTTTGTTTGTTTGTTTTGGGGCCACACCTGGTGGTGCTCAGGGGACCTTATAGCACTGGGGGCAACTAATGTCAGTGCATATAGTAAGCCATCATCCTAGGAGTCAATTTTGAGCAGTAATTGAAGTATAATTTGAGAATGGACGGGACAAAAATGTCTTTGTCTATTGGGTTAATTTAGTTCTTTAATTATTATTATTTTATTTTTTGGGTCACACCCAGCGATGCTCAGGGGTTACTCCTGGCTCTACTCAGGAATTACTCCTGGTGGTGCTTGGGGCACCATATGGGATGCCGGGGATCGAACCCAGGTCAGCCACGTGCAAGGCAAACACCCTACCCGCTGTGCTATTGCTCCGGCCCCCACTCTTTCATTGTCTTGAAGTTTATTTTCTGCTTTTTTTCCCCCCCTGAAGCTTCTATAATTTGTCTCATTTAAGTGATACCGACTTAGATTAAGTCAATATCTTAGCATTACAGACTTCAAACTTACTTAGTCCAGCCAAAGCAATAGTATAGAGGTAGGACATTTGTCTTGCACCTGCTGACCTAACTTTGATCCCCGTCACCCCATCTGTTCCTCCATGATCCACCAGGAGTGATACCTGAGCACAGAGCCAGAAGTAAGCCCTGAGTACTGCCTGGGTGTGGTCCTGAAACAAAATAGAAAAAAAAATAAATTTTTTTAGTCCCTTATTCCCTTTTTGATTCCTCAGCACACAATCTTGTGGTCAGAATTTCTAGAGATGCTTGGTCCTGCTAGATAGAATTTCAGAATAGTTTCTCTGCAGATGATTTTGGATTTATAGGCCTACAGATACCAGATTTAAGATACAGCTTCTATTCAGTCCAAGTCTAATTATATTTTCTTGGAAGCCTTTTTTGGGGAAGAATTTTAAGAGTGATGATGAATGTTATCAGTTAACGTTTTAAAAACAAAAGTGAAGAATAATTGATTTTCAGAATTTACTCTTATGGGCAGGTGTGCTTAAGGCAGTTCCAATAGTTATGAAGGTAACTTGGGGGCCGAAGAGATAGTACAGCAGGTAGGATGCTTGCCTTGAATGTGGCTGACCCAGGTGAGGTTCTATCCCTGGCATCTCATATGGTACTAGGAGTGATTCCTTAGCGCAGTGATTTCGTAGGAGTAACCTCTGAGTGTCACCGATGTGATCAAAAATAAACAAAGAAAGGCACTACGCATATACAACATATGACGCCCTGTGGGGTTTGAGGTAGTACTCCATCATGAAACAGATATTTTTACAGAGAGTGATATTAATAGTCACAGTACTGGAAAAATACAACTAAAAATAGCCTCATCATTCAGGTCAGATTTTATCATCAAATAAATTAATGAAACTAGGTTTTAGAATTCTAGGTGTACTTAAAAGAGATTGTGAATTTATATTTTTATTTTTTGGATTTTTTGAGGGAGTGCTGTAGGATTTTTCAACCCTGAGCAAGCCAGTTCTTCCTCTCTCACCTTCCTTTCCCTCCACTCCCTGCTCTTGAATCCAGGATTTCATGCACAGACTAAAATATCTGC